CTTTTTCTTGGTTTTCGTTAAGGGATTTTTTTTTTATATCTTCCCATTTTTGTTTGTCTTTTCCTCCATTTCTTTAAGGGAATTTTCATTTCCTCTTTAAGGGCCTCAATCTTCCTCATAAAGTTATTTTTTAGGTCTTTTTCTTCTATTTCATCTGTGGTGGGATGTTCAGGTCTTGCTATTGTAGTATCACTAGTTTCTAGTGGTGCTATATTGCTCTTTATATTGTTGAGTGTGTTCTTGCCTTATTGTCTATGCATCTCTTCCTCTAATTGGTATAGGTGGAATTTGTGCGTCAGGGGAGGTCTCTCTTTCTCCAGTTGGTATAGTTGGGGACTGTGGCTCCATTGACCTCTCCTTCAGGTACAAGCAGAGCCTCCAGTGAAAGCTCCTCCTTGTAGAAGTGAGCCCAAGGCTCAGGTGGTTGCTCCTTGAGATGCAGGTGGAGCTATAACTCTGGTGGATGCTCCTCCCATTGGAAGTGGGACCATATCTCTGGTGATTGCTCCTCTAGGTGTGGGTGGGGCTGAGGGTCCAGTGGTCAATGTAGCAGCAGAATAACTCCAACTGAGAAATGGCAGTGGATGATGGCTGGGATACAGGTGCTATTTCCCAGAAGAACTTATTGCTTCTAAAGGCTACTGCTGGAAACCACCTCACCTGTTGTTGCCTCACCTGGTGTTTACTCATTGCTCCTGGGCCTGAGGCTTTGGCCTCCCTCTTGTCATTATGAGGGAGGAATTTGGAGAAATGTTGCTATCTGGTGGCTATAGAAACTTGAGTTGTTACCAACATGTTGCCCTTGCTTTCCCTCTCTTCCATAGTACGTGTGCTCTCTATCAAAATAAATTTGATGTGATACACAGAGTGTTCTGTAGCTGCTAGACAAGATTTATTATAGGTTAATACAGTAAAGTGTAGCTACACAACCACTGCAAGAGAAGGCACTCCTATTGAGAAAGAGTAGACACTAGAGGGGACCACAATGAAAGGCACACATTTGAGGAATGAGAGTATAAAAGCAAGAGAGACCATTGCACTAACCTACATGTTGAGAAAGACCTCTTGTTAATTACTGTTTTGTTGCTGTGATAAAGTACCGTGTCCAAAAGCAACTTGAGGGATATTTGATTTTGACTTATGGTCCCAGAGGGCAAGATATGGTGCAAAAGGTATGGAGGTGGGAGCAGAAAGCTGAGAGAGCACATCTCAACCAACAGCACACTGGAAGCAGAACACATGATCTGCACGTAGGATGAGGTTATAAACTCTCAAAGCCCACCCCCAGTAACATACTTCCTCCAACAAGAATCCTGTGCAAAAAGTTCCATAGCCTCCCAAACATCACTACCAAATGGAGACCAAGTGTTTAAATATACAAGCCTATGGGGGTGTTTCACATTCAAACCACTACAATTTCCTAGTACTTATTAAAGTTTCTGGAACAGACTTATCTCCTGGGGGCTGTTTTGTTGTTCAGTCGATTGACAGACTCATTTACATTTAGATGAACTCTTAAGGAAGAGGACAATAATATGTCTTTGTTCTTTATCGGAAAGCCTGTGCTAAATAGCAGTCTTGTAGTCTGTCACATGAAGCTACAAGAGTCTGTTGAAGGGTCTCAAGAATTTATTTAGGTATAGGATAGGGACAAACACTCACTGATACAGAACCAATTAGACACTACCACTGATCCAGCTGTGTTTGCCCAGTCTTTCTGGCCAGGAGTGGAGAGCACAAACTGAAAGCCTCCTCTCTGCTACCTGTTCCACTCTGATGACCCAAGAGAGAGCAAGAGCAAGAAAGAAAGTGACCCTCTACCTCAGCTTTTAAGCTGTAATGTAGGCAGACAAGACCACACCCTAGGGCTTGATGCCCCAAAAGTCATTGGCTAAATGGATCAAAATCCCACAACAGTAGTCCTTTTAGATGTTCAGAAAGTATGTCTCTACCCTGGGTAGGAAAAGCAACTCTGACCCTGTTCTTTTGGCCAACGATCACATAACAGAATTTATTAAAAAGAATTAAAGAAAGAAAAGCAACTTTAAAAATAGTCATGCGTTATGATAAGGAAATAAACAGTTTTCCTTCTTCAATCCCACAAAGCTGCCTGCAAGTGGCTTGGGGGACTCCAAAGATACCAGATTCCTGTGTCTGCCCACATGCAGGGGGCGGACTTTGGCGAATGTAGTAGCTGTTGTGTCACCTATGCTCTGTTGTGAGATATTTGTACACTGCGTGAAGGTGTACTACTGTGATTGGTTGTAACAAAAAAGCTGAACAGCCAATTGCTGGACAGGAGGGATTGGTGGAACTTCTGGGCAGAAAGAGGAAGTAGGAGGACAAATGTAGGCATGTGAGAAAGAGATGTGAGGAGACACAGAGGAAGCAGAATGAGCAGTATGTGACAAAACATACATTAATAGAAACGGGTCAATTTAAGATAGAAGAGCTAGCTAAAAACAAGCTTAAGCTAAAGCCACGCTTTCATAATTAGTAAGTCTCTGTGTCACTATTTGTGAGCTGATGGCCCAAAGAAAAATCCAACTACAATAAATTGCTACTAATAATTTTGTGAATTCTGCTCTTTCTCTTAGGTGAAAGTAACATCATCCACTTATGTAAGAATTACATTGTCATTCACCCTGTTTTCCTATATGCACAATACTCAAGCTTGAGACAGAAATAGACCATATAATGTGCAATGTCCTTCAAATGCCAGAGACAACTATAACAAACATCTCTTTAATACTGTATAATTCAGGATGGCTGATGTGGTTTCCATATAAGGCATTGTGGTAGTTTGAATGTAATTGGCCCTCATAAGCGCATAAGAAATGGCATTATTAGGAGGTGTGGCCTTATTGAAGTAGGTGTGGCCTTGTTGGAGGAAGTATGTCACTGCAGGGGTAGGCTTTGAGATCTCCTATGCTCAAGCTTCATGCAGTGCGACACTCATATCACTTCCTGCTGTCTGTGGGATCAAAATGTAGCTACTTCTCAGTTCCTTGTCTACCTGCATACCACAAACCATTGTCATCATACCATGTCCTGGCATGATGACAATGGACTAAACCTTTGAAACTACAAGCCACCCAATTAACTGTTTTCCTTTATAAGAGTTGCCATGGTTATAATGTGTCTTCACAGAAATAAAAACCCGAAGACAGAAAGAAGTTGGTGCCATTGACTGGGGGTATTGCTGTAATAGACCTGACCATGCTTTTATTTGGAAGAATGTGGACCTTGGGACTGTGGATTAGAAAAGCAGTTGAATGCTTTGAGTGCTGCTTAATAGGCCATCCTAGTAATAACATAGAAGACATGGTGCTGAGTGTGATTTGATGAACTGTGGGGTCCTGGCTCCAGAGGTTTCAGAAGAGAAGAATATTAATACATGGCCTAGAGATCATTTTTTGTGATACTGTGGTGAAGAATGTGGCTGCTTTTTGCCCTTGTCCATAATGTCTGCCTGAGGCTAAAGTGAAAAGTATTGGATTAATCCCATTGGCAGGAGAAATCTTAAAACAGCCTAGTATAGACTCTGCCATGTGGTTATTAGTATTAACTCTAATGAAGATTTATAATGAAAAGGAGCAAACTGAGCAAGAAAGAAGAAAAGGAGCACCAGAAAGTGGAATGGAGCTAAATCCTATATTCAAGGAGATAAACAGATTAAGAAATGGAATAAAGCCAACTGGTGGTAGTGCACATCTTTAATCCCAGTACTTGGGAGGGAAGCAGAGGCAGGGAGATCTCTGTGAGTTTGAAGCCAGACTGATCTACAGAGCTTGTTCCAGGACAGCTAGGGCTGTTAGACACAGAAACTCTGTCTCAAAAAAAATGGAATAAAGGGAGTGGTGACTTCAGGGCAAGATTACACCCACCTAAATTTCCAACACGGGAAAAGGAAGGAAAGTTTAGAGCCAGGTATGGTAGCACACACCTTTAATCCCAGTACTAGGAAGGCAGAGGCAGGTGTATCTCTGAGTTTGAGGCCAGTTTGCTCTACAGAGCAAATTTCAGAACAAGTTTAGGCAGTAAAGGTAACCACTGAAAATAGAAAGCTGGTAAAGATGTAGTTCAATGAGGGGGCCATGTTCCAGCCCCAAGAAGCAGCAGAACTTGGCAGCTTAAACCACACAGTTCTGGCTTTAAAGTCAAGGATAGAAGAAAGGAGTTACAGAATATTCCTCCATGACTAATGAAAGCCACTGAGGCCAGACATTTGTCAGAGAGACATTATGTGAATCTGTGAAATTAAAGCCTGAATTGACTTTTAGACCCCAAGATGTTAGAAGTGCCAAGCTGTAGGGTACCTGCTGAGGAAATCTACTATCAGGGAGTGGAACAGGGAAGAAGTATGTTGCTGTCAACAAAGCTGAAAAGAATTGGAGATCTGAAGAGCATTTTGATATGAAACATGGAGATGCAGAGTTCAGAGTTTTGCCCAGCTGGAATAGTAATGTATATCATGTGCCATTATATGTTGGAAGTATGTGATCTGATTTTTTTATCTTGATTTTATAATGGATTACAGAGATTGCATTTTGCAATTTGATATTGTTACAAGCTTAACAAATGGGGGACAAATGGAATGGGAGGGGGTAAATTGAATGTAATAGAAACCCTAACTAAGACAGGTGTGCATTAAAAAGCTCATGTGTTGAAAGCTTGGGCCCCAACTGCCAACACCATTAACAGGTGATTGGATCATGGAAGTGTGAACCTCATTAAGTAATTAATCCATTGATGAGTTTATACTCAATGAGGTATTAAGAGGAGCAGCTCAGTTGAAGGAAGTAGGTCCCTGGGCCATGTTTTTGAAATTTCAAAGGGATATTATGTTCCTAGCCACATCTGCCTCCTATCTACAAGGAAGAGAGCCAGTTTACTCCATCACATGTTCCCTAGCATCATACTCTATCAAACCACCAAGGACCAAGTGACTCAGGGTTCAGTGACCATAAATTAAAACCTCTGAAACTGTGAGCCAAATAAATCTGTTCTTTATTGTTTGTTTGAGTTATTCTGTCACACTGAAAAAAAAAACAATATGACTAACACAATAAAAATAAAAATGTACAAGTCATACTATTGGGAACAATATCTTATTATCCAAGAGTTTACTGTATTACATTCTAGTGATTCTGAAAGGAGGAAATTAATTATATTTTATTTAAGATTAATCCCTTAGAATATAATTTAGTGGCATATGCACCAGAACAAATGCCAATGTTATGCATTATAAGCAGAGACTTTCTTCCTATATACCCAAACTGGGAGTAAGAAAATTAATATCTGCCATTGAAAGTATTATATAACACGATGCTGGAAGTATCTGTCATTGCAATTGTGTGATTATCATAATCAAGTTAAGGTATTCTGATTGACCACAAGTGAGAAAAGTGAGATAGGAGGGACAATTTGTTCCACCCCAAACAGATAAGTTTGCATTTGTTTGTTTTGTTTTATCTAAGCAGGAGAAAGCATCACAAAGCAGACAGAAGTAAAGGAGTTCAGGCAGAGACAGAAGTATCCTTATGTTGCTACTATGTTCATTCTTCACTGGTTTCCCATCATGCTTCAAAGATGATCTGAAGTGTATTTGCACACATTTATCTTCACCCTATTAACCACCAGTTACCTACCACTTCTACCCAGTGCACTTTAGTAGCTCAGGGATATTTGTGCCATTTTTACTTTAGAGAAGCCTAGCGGTCATTTGGAATGCTCTAGAAATTACGCCCTGTGAGCCTGCAGCTTATTTCTGTTCTGCTCATGGATTAACAGTGATTTGCAAATGCTTGCCAAGTTTTAAATAACATTACTATTTTCAACACAAAATTATTAAATGTAAATTGCAGTATACAGAATTAAAAGTTTAAATGGAATTCAAACACCATCTTCACTACATACTTCCCTTATTATCATAGCAGACTGAGGCATACTGACAGAAGACTTATAGATGACAAAGTGGAAATTTCATGGTATAGTACTTTACAGAAACAAAACAAAACAAAACTGCTAACCCCTAACCTATAGGGCCACAGTCCTCATCATCATGCTTGCTTCTCTTGGCTGCACTTCTGTAGATCTCAATCAGATCGCTCCCTTCTTATTACAGAAAATGCTGTAAACATTTAGAGACAAAAGTTATTTATTAACATTTGCTAATTTTTTAAAAACCGATTCAATGCTCCTGTATACATATAAGCATTCACAATGCCTTAAAAATACCCGTCTAGGTTTCCAGTGACAATAGAATGATGTAAGCATATTTAATGTGAGTTTTAAGAAATTAGTAAAATCGCCAATATATAATTCTTTTTGTGTTTTTTTTACAAAGCAGAGTATCCTGTGGTTTAGCATGAATAATAATTCCTTGATAATTATGATTACATGAGATTGTCATGATGATGACAACTTTAGGAAAGGTAGGCCTAGGATTTTATCTACACAGATATGGGGTTCTCCCTTCCTGACATTTCATTACATGGGAAACATTTTTCCCCTTCCAGAGTCAAGATACTATCACTCTCAGCCCACCTGCATTTTCTTGTGGTAGCTTCCTTCATCATCCAGTGAGCGGTCAGAGACATCCCTCTTGGAAAGTGAGATGTAGTGCTGGTCAGGAGATGAACAGCTCTACTTCCCAGTAATACCATTAAGTCCACTCAGAGCTGGCTGGTCTTATCTAGGATGAGATGTTTCTTGAGGAATTTCTGTATCTCCTTCCAAGAATGCTCCTGTGCGGCTGCATGTAGAATAACGTCTCCCCCCCAGCTGATGCTTGGGATCACATAGGGGATCCTTGAGGCAGAGCACAATGGGGCATAGGGAGGTTCAATCAGGTGACCTGCCCCAGGGTAAGACAGCAGAGTCCAATTCTTCTTCCCACTTTTTATCAGCTGTGCTGTGGCTTGATGAGCATGTACTTTGCTGTTGAGATTCTTATCATCTTCTCCCACCACGAAAAGAAAATGTCCCTGAGCTTTTTCAATGGGAAAACAATATTTGCTATCCTTATCTGCAGTTTCCTCAAAGGCTCGATAAAACTCTACAAGTCCTAAGGCATTGGTGGTTACAAATTCTACGTTGCATGGGACGGGCAGGTTGACCTGACCATGATATACATGTGGATCACTGGTAACAAAATTAGGCCCATTGATAAGTACAGTAGCTTTAATTTGTTTTAGGTTAATAGCCATAGACAGTCCAATTTCTGCTCCTTTGCATACAGAAATGATGCCAACACCTGGGCCCAAGACCTAAAAGCAATAAAAATGAAATGTTATTTTTTCATTAGGAAATCTGAAATTTCAAACAATCAAGAACTTCAACAAGGAATAGTAACAGGAAAGTAAAAAAAAAAAAAAAATTAAAGGACCCACCCAGATGCTTATATGTCAAGTAGCTAGAGTTCTGCAATGCAGTTTGTTTATTTAGTTGAGTTTTACTGTAGATATATTAGATTCAGCATTATGTCTGGTTCTGAGTTTAAAATACTTTCAAGAAATATCACCAGGACTAGAAATACAGGTCTGTGGGGAAGTCTTTCTCTAGCATGCAGTAGTCACCACAAGACAAACAAACAAGAACAACAAAACCAATGTAGCCAGGAAAACAAGCAAAGTCGATGTGCTATTGCAAATAGCATTAGGCAGGCAATAAGTAATGAGGGATGAGCTGCCTACAGAAAGGGGTGAGAGCAAAGGGAGGTTAGGACAATGAATAGAAAGCTTTCATCTCATAAGAGATTTCAAAATAGAGTATCTCAATACACTTTTCATTGTCAATCATCAACCTCGCCCAGCAAAGGAGTATTATCATTCCCTAAGGCAGCTAACTATCTGCCAGATGAAAAGACAGGATCAAAGAGTCTCAGAAGAATGGGATGTAAATTGAATTTTCACACATTAAAAATGGAGGCAATAAAGAGTAATAGTGATTCAGGTGTGCTAGTTACCCAGAAAAGAAATTTATGAACAATTTTAAGGATAATAAGACCTTGATTTTTCATGACAAAGTGAGGTATCCACTCTCAGGGGGTGCATTTTGATGAGTCTGAGCCTATTGTCTTTGGCTACATATCTATTTAGTGTCTGTTGTAAGGCCAATATATTCTACTCATGGATAGATTTTCTTCTCATTCAAAATAACACAGAATCAAGAGATCATTCTGAATTCTTGACAGTTCTTTCTATCTTAAGACACTGACATGTTGACTCAGTGCCTGAAACACAGCTATCTTGTGCACTGTTGGATAGGACCAAAGAATTGCTGATCAGGAACTCTACATTTTCCAGAAAACTCACTTGTGGTGGGCTAAATGTCAACATAAGGCTGTTTGTTTGTTTTTGCTCTGTTTTCTTCCATGGTCTAGAACTCTGGGGAGAGATGACTCAGACTTTGGTTCTGGAAAACATGCTCACAAGTTGTTGGTTTATAGATGCAAATACATAGGACTTCTGGGCCTGTGACAAAAGCTCAGTCAGTTAAGTGCCATGCAAGTATGAGGACATAAGTTATGCTCCCAGAACCTATGTAAAATTGTCAGGCATGCTGTCTTGTTTGTAATCTCAGTCCTGTGGAGATGGACACAAGAGGACCCTAGGCTCATTGGACAGACAGCTTTTCCTGATAGGGAATTTCCAGGCCTCTAATGGCAGACCCTGTTTCAAAACCAACTTGGATGACTTCTGAAAAACAATACTCAATTGTCTACCTCTGTCCTCCACATGCATATGCACACACACACACACACACACACACACACACACACAGAGAGAGAGAGAGAGAGAGAGAGAGAGAGAGAGAGAGAGAGAAAGAGAAAAAGAAAGGGTGGGAGGGGAGTCCTAGTTAGTAGTTACAAGTGGAACATCCAAACCAGAAAGAGTAAAAGACAGCTGTTCTTTGTAGCACAAAAAAAAAACAGCCTTGGCAGAATCACACTTCGAAGTTAAGGCAAATCACATAGCATTGCAGTTAATGTAACACTGGGATAAAAACAGACTAATGAGCTTAAAATTACCTTAGGATGTCTCAGGAGAAACTTTATACCTTCTTCAAAATACTCTAGATCTATCTTCTCCAGATAAGAAGGCAGGTCATCATAGGCCCAGTAAGCCAGAGCGAAGGCTGCAAAGCCATGACTGGCCAGAAGACTGGCCCGGAATTCAATCAGTCCACCAGTGCTCCCAAACAAGTCAATGACCCCTGGGAAAGGACCTTCTCCTGGAAAAGAGCAACATAAAACAGTTTACATATGAAAACAAGAGGGAAAGACAACAAGAATATGAAGCTAACACTCAGAACTGAACCTTGCTATTAATGTATAAATGCTCAAATAGAACATTCAAATGTTCAGCCTTGTGTATGAGGCAGAAGTAAAGCCTTCTCAATATACAGTGAAATGTAACTTCTAGGGATTTTGTTATAAACTACATGCATTGACATATTTAATTCCTAAAGCCTAGAGGAGGGTTCATTTCCATAGTCTTTGAGTAAAGAAAATCATTAAAAAAGTAAAATGTACCAGGGCTTCTTAACCAATAAAGGGTACAAAAATGAGCTTTAGGATATCTATGAAGATCCTAAAATTAGATACAAAATATGCTGCCTGTTTATATGAGCTTTCCTTCAAGAAATGCTACAGGCTGATGAAGGCTATCTCCAACAGCCACCTAGGAGAGGCAGAACTTTTAAGAAAGGTCCTAGTTGGAGATCTTCATGTCCTTGAGGGTTAGCCCTCACAGGGTCTAGTTAGACAAACGTTTTCTCTCTTTATAAATGAAGGACATAGCTCAAAAGATGTCTTTTCATAGTTACACTGTCTAAAATGTCTTGTAAGAGCTGCAGCTCAGGAGTTCAGTCCCGGAGCACTTGCCTAACATGCCTAAGTTTCAGGGCTCAGTCTCAAGAAACAACAACAACAACAACAAAGGTTAAACACCCTTCTCTGTTACACTCCACTAATCACTAACTGATGAAACAGTTGATAAAACCTCCCATCTCAGAAGATGGACATGAGGACCTCTTTCTTTATATAATTTCTCTTCCTTGCAGCCTGGAATACAGAGAAAGAGGAGGGATGTCAGAGCACCAGTCCACACTCACTCAGTGTAGACAGCCTGGTTCTCCATAAACCAGAGCCCACCCACAGTGGTTATCATAAATGTCCCTGTCCTGAAACTCAATTTTGGGAAAGGGAGACTGGCCATGTTCATGTAAACACTGACATCACACGAAAGGGGCCCTGGCGAGTTTTTAAATGGCTGTGTTTCCTTTAGTTTGAGAAATGAGGTGACACAATGTCTTGGTTTACAAACTACCATGTAAGTACACTAATAAAGATGATGAGTAGGAAGAGAGGGAACAATGAAGGGTCTGAAATGTTCTGACACTTATTTCAACCTCTTTGTGACAAAATGATATCATCTCTCCTTTGAGCTCCAGTAGATCATTTGATTTGAGAGACTTTACATACCCAGTGTCCCAGAAGATAGAAAATGACACACCTGGTGCCAGCAAAGCAGCCTGAGGCAGAGGCCTGGACCAATACACATGTTTTAAAGGTGTGATACTAAAGAAACAAAACTAAGCACAATGGGATGGTTTGTATTTTTATTGTAAAGCTACAATCCTTAAACTGAATATCAATATGCTATCGCTCCTGAAAATAGCTGTGTCAGAGTCTTCAATCAGCCAGGCTTGAATGAACTGCATTTAGCCCGCATCCAAACTCTTCAGAAACATCCCAATGCAGGAACTCTGCAATATGTAGGGATACCCTTAGACAAGCTTCAGCATGGTAGAGAAGAAACTTGGGTTAGAGTAGAATATAACCTATTTCTTGTTCTGAACCAACATTAACCCGGATTCTCAGGCAGGATGTTGAGATTTATATAATACCCTCCTCCAAGCTAAATTTCTATAGGCACAAGGCATCCCAAGAGGGAAACAGCAATGACAGAACCAGAGTGATTCTACTCACCTGGAGGCAGAAAGAGGGCTCCCCGGAGGCGGCCCTCCTTTACCTGGATCCTTGTGACATCAGGTGCCACATACCATCTTTCCAAAGTCAGGCTATCCATTGGTGGACTGACAACTATACCTTTTACTGGAAAGTGTGGCTTGCAAAGTTCTATGTGGACTTGGTAGGGGCTAGTCACATCTTTCTTTGCCAGTCGACTCAACAGCTTTTCTGGTTTCAAGGACCAGAAAAGGCCCATGGGGTGGACACCCATATAGTCTCCTCCAACTGAGGAATCACGCTCCAGATCCACCTCCCCCACTTCATTAGCCCTGTAGTAGGCCTTAGAACCAAACATATTCCCCTTCTCATCTTTCAGTGATGCCTGAAGGCACACCACCTCAAAGGGCATCAGGCCTGCGACTTGGATGTGCACAGGCTCATCAACAAGTGCACTGAGAGGAGTGGCTGTCAGCTTGGCCATTTTTGCAGTGGGAACCTTGAACAATTCTTCAGGAATATCTTCACCAAAACCTCAAAATAGAAACAGAAATGAAATACAGTGGCAATAAAGTTAATGAATGATGGAAAGGACCAGGAATCAGATCTCTTATGATTCAGTTTTAACTCTGCATTGATTTGTTGCAAGTAGACTGTGATAATTTTGTAATGCAAGACACCTGAGAGATTTCAACAGATTTCTAAAAGCTAGGGAGCATGCGGGTAAATGCTAGAAGTTCAAGCATCACTCCAACTTTGCATAAATGGTATCAGAACATCAAGGAGGACATCTCTGTCATCATTCACAAGTCTGGAAAAACCTGAATGGAGTTGAAAACATGCTAATTGCCTGAATAGCTCCCTATACAGGACAGGTAACACTACTACCTAATCTCTTCCATGGGGACACATGTGTTCTGTCTTAGAGAAAAAAGATAGGACTATTACTTTGATTAGGAGCATATAAGACCTTCAAATACACAGAAGGCTTGCTGATATGCTTATTATATTGCCCTTAAATGTTAACACAAGAGTGACCACTCTTCCCAACAACCAAAACTATCATCAGATTTTGATCTACTTATCTGGTTGTTGTGTTGTTTTCTTTTTAACTCATTTTGCTGAGAATGCCACCCATCTAAATGAATCAAACTCCAGCATGTGACAAAATAGCTATTCCTAGGAGGCAAGAAAATTTCCCACCTACTCTGCTATTCACTTATTATAAAACAGCAAAAAGGAATCCCACAGAGAGATGTGAAAACTAAGAGAAAGGGGGATATACTTTTGATGGGTGCTGAGATGGAACTCTGAGAAACTCTCTTCAGAATATGTCTCCACTCATCCATGTCTATAGGGCATCACCAGAAGCCTGAGATTGGCTGCAGGGATATATACTGAGATGAATCCATGGGGGGCTTTCAAGCCCTCATTTAAAACTTGGCAGCTGTCCTCCAAAAGATGAAGGCAGAGGAGCAAAGAAATGTACCTATACTGAGGAAGTCAGAAGTATTATCACAGAGCCAAGCAAATTCCCTAGTGACCTTTCTTCCAGAACTGTACATCAGAAATTCTCAGTTTAAAGAGCTAGAAAATGACTGTTAAAGCCAAAGATCCTCCCACAAAGTTCACGAATGCCGAGAAACCAGGCTCTTCTGATGAGAAAGGGCTTCACCCCACCATCAAAAATTGGTGAAGTCAGTGGTGCACTGAACTCAGTAAATCTGCCACTGGTCCCAGACTCAACTCACACTTGGCTCAAATCAGAGTGATCAGCCCCAAATCCCAACACAATATGGTCAAGCTCTTTTATTACCGTTAGTGTGTGTGTGTGTGTGTGTGTGTGTGTGTGTGTGTGTGTGTGTGTGACAGAGACAGAGAGAGAGACAGAGAGACAGAGACAGAGAGACAGACAGAGATAACTATAAGTTGATTCTCTTCTTCCACCATGGGACCCCAGAGATGTAACTGAACTTGTCAGGCTTGGCAACAACTTATTTTATCCATGGACAATATCACTGGTCCTCTTTTTTTCTCAGATATTATTTTCACATAATACATCCAGGATCCATTTTTTTATTATTATACATAAAGGTTATAAAAACTCATGATTACAAGAGGAAAAAATTCACTATAATAGAAAGAGAAGTAGTCCAGATGTTGGAATCATCAGACAGCAAATAGAAAGGAACCAATAGATATAAGAACAGCTCAAACTAAACTATAAAGAGAAAAATCAAGATGAAAGATTAGAGCACTTGAGACATGGGAAAATATTTTAATACATATGGTTCAATATAGAGTATAAATTCTCTAATAATTGGAACTTTAGAAAGACATGTTAACGAGAGGCACAGGAGGAATGCTTGCAAAAAACTAGGGTTTATTTTTCCTAAAATCATTAAAAAGCACCATGCTACAGTCACAAGAAATGTAACAAAATACAGGAGAAAAAAAAAAAAAACAGCAAAATCCCATCTGTCATTATAGTCAAACTAGTAACACATAGAGCAAGTGTTAATATAGCCAGAGGAAAGTGGCAATGTTACAGGGGAAAAGAACAAACATAAAAAAATTAAGCAGGAGACAATAAACCCTCAGTGCTCAAAAGGAAAGAGCAAAAATAAATAAAAGCAAAATGCCTGAAACTCTTTACCTAACAAATATACACATCAAAAATGAAGACAAAAGGAAGAAATTTCCAGAGGGAAAAAGAGAAAGTACATCTGCAGTTAATTATATTTCAAGAAATGCACAATGTAAGGGATGCTATTCCAGGTAGACACCTTACTGCATCTGAGAAATAAAGAGTAAGAACACATTTATTAACTGGGTAAACATAAAAGCCCTTTTCAAAATTTCGTCACTTAAATAAATACGTATGTGACCTTAATTATAGTTAAAAGTCTATAGGCTGTCCAAAATAAAAGTAACTGTTTTAAGATTGTATAAGAAATATGGCAAATATATGGAAATATGATTAAATGTGCTTCTCATATCACCGTTTTTCAAATAAGATAGGGTGTCTGCAGGTAGATAATGATAACTTACAGTACTTATCAAGAGCCCAATGAGCTAGGAGATAAGAGAGATGAGCGCCATTAGACATTAGAGTTGATTTATTTAAGGAAGAAGTGACATAGAAGAGGATACAGCCAGTATTCACTTACAGCGATGGGTCAGCAATAACCTGAGATGGAGAGGTGCTCAGGGTAAGGTTAACACACAGATGCACAGGACCTCCTGCCCACTCTCAGTCCGAGGCTCTGAAAACTTTATGGATACCGGAGTTTAAAAACTACGGCCTATCCAGTCGAGCTGGGAAACAGGTCTCCTCAACCAGGCATCAGTTGGCTGAATAGAGAGAGGTGCCTAGGAAGACCTTGGAACTTGGACTTTGGATATGCCTGAGCTAAAGAAAATAAAGATCAAAGCAGCAGGGCCACTACTGTGGAAAGGCCCCAACAAGCTTGAGTAACTCTGTAACTTTCCCCTGAAACTATTTCTTTTGCTACAATGTGGCAGTGGGCTCCTGTGCACCCAGCACCAGGGAGACTGAAGTGGGAGTGAAGCTAAAGCTAGCCTGGGCTGCATAGGAAGATCCTGTCTCAGAAAAACAAAAGAGTAAAACACCACCAAAAGGAAATTGTCTCTGTAGCACAGTGCGTTATTTTGAATGAAAGTCTCAAAGGCAAGGGAGTAAAATAATCTGAGATTCATTTTTGCACATGTCCTAGAGTCAATACAGAGCTGGGAATACCACTTCCAGGGTATGTGAGCCTCTTTGTGGGTCTTTCTGTGTGAGACTGTTGTGTTTCCTTGTATCACAGCCACAAGGGCAAGAGACAGAAGCAGCTGTAAGCTATAATCTCTGCCATTTCACATTTGTCAGGGAAGGCATAAGCCCCCGTTAGAATTCAAGTGGGGAGAGGAGAGACTTTTTTGACAATGAGGTAAATATAAATAGGGCAAAGGGAGGAGAGTACTGGATATATCTATACACTTTTGTGTAGCAGGCTTTCTTGGGCCCGCAGCCCCCGAATCTCGATACAGAGACTTATTAGTTACGAATAACTTATTAGTAACTTATTAGTTACGAATGCTCTGCCTTAATTTAGTCTTGTCCCACTAGCTCTTGTAATTTATTTTAACCTGTTTCTCTTCATCTATGTTTTGCCTTGGGCTCTCTATTTTTCTTTCATTCTGTATGTCCTACTTTCCTGCTGCTTCTTTATCTGGGTGGTGGGTGGCTGCCTGGCTGGTTGGCGCCAGGGAGTCTATCTTTCTCCCTAGATTTCTCCTCCTACTTATCCTCTTTGCCTGCCAGACCTGCCTATCCCTCCTCTGCCTAGCTATTTGATGTTCAGGGTTTTATTAGACCAATCAGGAGCCTTAGACAGGCAAGGTGTACTGCCTTCTGCAATCCTTTGGAAACAAAATCTACCACAGCAGTCAATAGGGGAATAAATCAGATGATGAATCAGATGAATGGATAACAGTGACCCAGATGAGAAATTCCAACACAATTATATCTAAAATTGCATTATGGGGCTGAAGAGATGACTCCATGGTCAGGAGCACTGGCTGTTCTTCCAGGGATTCATTCCTAGCACTGGAATGGTGACTCACAACTCTCTGTAACTCCAGTTCCAGAGGATCTGATGCCCGTTTCTGGTGTCCATAACACCAGGCACCAAGTGGTACACAGACATACATGCAGGCAAACACACACACACACACACACACACACACACTAAAAAAACAAAAATGAGAGAAAAATAGGACAGTCGAAGGGAGTCATGATGGCTGTTGTTGTTGTCAACTTGACTACATCTGGAATAAACTGCAATCCAGGAATGGAGGACACACCTGTGAGAGATTTTTTTTTTTTTTTTTTTTTTTGCTTGGTTTGAAGTGGGTAAACCCACTTTTAGCCTGGCTGTTTGAGGTAGGAAGGCACACACTTTTGATCAGGATCTTGAGTCGGGAAGACACACACCCATAATTCACATTTTGAGGTGGGAAGACACACCTTTAATCTGGGCCAGATCGTCTGCTGGAAGCCTATGTAAAACATAGTAGGAAGCTTTTGCTCTTTGCCTGCTTGTTCTTACCTTGATAGAACATCCATTCCTTCACTGTCATTCAAGCCTACTTCTTCAGTCTTCCAGCTTATATTTAAGATTAGTTGAGACATTCCAGCCTTGTGGACTGAGCAGCTACTAGACTCTTGGACTTTCCATTCACAGGCATCCATCTTTGGATATTTGGACTGCAGTAAGTCATTCCAATAAATTCCCTTGGGAGCCTTTATCATTTATTACAGAAATAGCAATTAATATTCTAGGTATCAACTCCAGAATATTTGTTACTATGAGTTTGGCTGTATATAAAATATGTACTTCGTGCTTTATATTCTCAAATAGGCCCCAGAGAAAGGAATTCCTTCTCTTACCAAGGCATCAGCAGTTAAGAGCTGCAGTTTCTGGATCTCACACTACATAATCTTAGTTTTTCCCTTTGATATAGTGAGTGCTGAGAAGTCCCCTTTAATGAGTTAACAGCAAGTCAGGTTCCCACTAAGACTTACTTTTGCCAGGCCAGTTTTGCAAGTCACATCCAGGGAAGAAACTGAGGCACCTGCTTTTCTCAAGAGCCTACCTGCCTTCCTGGCTCTGAGAGATATGCATGTCAGAGAGTTGTTAAATGTGCCTGTGGGTATAAAAACTAGAAATCTTGTGGGATGAGAAGGCACTTTTAGAGACTTTTTAGAGGGACCTCAGGAGAACTTTTAGAAGAAGGAACTTTTGGAGACTTTTTTGGAGAAACCTCTGGAGAAGTTTTAGAGAATTTTTAGAAAGAACTCTTGGAGAATGTTTAAGAACTTTTGGAAGAGAACTTTAGGAGAACTTTTAGAGAAAGAACTTTTGAGGAGAGAGATTTAGAGAAATCTTAAAGAAGCTTTTGAAAGAGAACTTTTGGGAAGAATATTTTCTTGAAGAATAGAGTCATGAGAGGAATGTGTGCCTGTGTGAGCCAGTTTACTTCCCTCTCATTCTCAGACTGTTTTTAGAAAACCCCTACCCGCCTGCTGTCTAGCCTCTAGCCTGGACCCTGAAAGATCATTGAGGCTGGAACTTGAATGCTCTCGTTAATTCATTCTGAGTTCTGTCAGTCTGTTACTCTAACACTGGAGGGGAGTTTGCTTTGTGTCTTACCCAGGCTTCCTCCAAAAGCTCATTTTGATATAACAACACAACAGTAATTAATTTATTTTGAGGGGTTAAAGGATATACAATGAATAGTTGACTAAGGGTGATTGGTTCCTTTACACATACATAGAGGTGGGACAGATAGGTGTGAATAAATCCATGCTTATTCACACCAATCTGTCCCACCTCTATGTATGTGTAAACAGCCTATAGAGAGAAGTGCTGAGGATAAAAATCTTTGTCTCTTTACAATACCTCAGAATGTATATACTTAAGGTCATATAGGAATGAAGAGTGCAGTCAGGATTAGAATCCCTAACTCCAACTCTGTCAAACTGATCAATAAGAAGCCTGTTTTTTGTTTGTTTGTTTTTTGTTTTTTGTTTTTTGTTTTTTTTTTTTTGAGACAGGGTTTCTCTGTGTAGCCCTGGCTGTCTTGGAACTTGCTCTGTGGACTTGAATTCACAGAGATTAAATAAAACATAAATAGTGCGGCTTAGTGTTCCAGACTAAGAGGTTTTTGTTTTTGTTTTCTGCCATATATTCTAGAAAACAGTGTTAAAAAGAGGATGAATTACTCATGGAGATTAGGAGAGCATAAAGGGGAGTGAAGTGACTCCTACAGTTTTCCAGGTCCCTCACAAACATCCAGTGATCACAGGTCCTGAATGGCATCCTTTCTAAGCAAAATCTGCCTGAAACAGCACTGCCCTGCAATGCTAGTACCCCTGGGAACTTCAGCACTCCAGCGCTCTCCATCATTACAGAGGAGCAAAAGGAGTATTTGAAACCGCTCATTGACAAACACTGGAGGAAAAAAAAAATCTGACTTTTATTTTCAGCTAAGGAGTTGAGATGTTTAACGTATTTCCAATCAACTCGAAGCAAACAGCTTTGATTACAAACCAACCAATGTTCCTTTCCCACTTGAAGCTTCTCCAGCAGTAAAGGACAAGGCCTTAATCCCAGTTGTCCAGGACCAAAGCCTCAAATGCTTTTGACATCACAGTTCACCTTGGGTCACAAAACAAAGGGTATCAGCTTAACCTCTGCCCTGACCCCCTTCCCACTCTAGCCCCTCTTTCTTCCTCCCTTTCTGCTTTGTTATGGGAAGTATTTTAGTTTTTAAATATGTATTATATAATATATATTACATATATCTGGGCATCAGGCCTGGCGCTGATGGCGCACACCTTTAATCCCAGCACAAGGGAGGCAGAGGCAGGTGGATCTCTGTGAGTTTGAGGCCAGCCTGGTCTACAGAGTGAGTTTCAGGATAGCCTCCAAAACAATACAGAGAAACCCTGTCTCAAAAAAATTAAATTAAAAAAAAAAAAATATATATATATACATACATACATACATACATACCTATATATATATATATCTCCATGTGTATACATACATGGTGGGGGACCAGGGGGAAGGTTGTCCATGCACACTTTCACATGTACCAGAGTCTGAAAAGGTCAAAGGACAATGGCCTAGGGTGCTGTTGCCTGATGAACCATATACCTGGCCTCTTGTTTGGTTAAAATTCTACTGTCACTATTTGCACTTATCTGACCACTACATTTAAAAAAAAAAGAAAAAAAGTCAATGCAGCTACTGCAGGACTCTGAACTTGCAAACATTTCTTTCCAGACCTGAGTTCAAAACTACAAAACTAAAATAATACAAGCCAATAATGGGCTGGAGAGATAACTCACTGGTTTGAGTGTGTGCTGTGCAATCAGGAAGACTGGAGTTTGGATTCCTATACATAGATGCAAGTACACCCACATACATGAACACAAACACATAGAATAAACATAAAAAAACAGAAAATATATTTTTTTCTTTTGGGACTATATTAGGCATTACATTATCTGTATACCGAGTTGATTTTTTTCTTTCATTTTTGTATCTATTTCCTAAAGTATGGTTACTACAGAAATGGTACAATTTCTGCATCAAAACAAAACCCAGCAAGAGAGGCAGTCTCTTGTTACTTGAAACATAGTTTATGTAAGATCATTTATCATGAATTGCTGATAAGCTATTGTCTTATAAAAATATGGACCTTTGTTCCTTAGGGACCACCACCACTTCCCATAAGTTCTGCCTAATTCAACCTTTATAGGAATTCCAAGCTCCCCTAAGTTTTCTGAATCATCTCCTTCTCGAGCTACTCTTTTACTTTTCCTAGACATCTGGTAAGACAATTCTGCTTGCTGGAATGGATTCATAATTGATCCGAAGCTTTTATTTTCTGTCTAAAACATTTCAAATAGAGTTCTAACTAATGGGGGGCTTCCAGTAGAAATACTCATATCCTGAGCCATCCTAGCAAGAAACTGCTCCGCTCGGACCACAGGCACAAAAGAAATTTCAATGATAGCATTTTATACAAAAATTGCTGGTGAGGTGCTTTCAGTTCCTGGAACCAAAATATCTAGAGGTACTCAATCTTTCTTCAACTAACACCTGATCATCTGCTGATGCTGACAAAGCCAGACCAGTCATAAGATAAAAGACAAAAGCAGAAAACAACCCACCACAGACGTCGAGACACAAGAGACCATCTTGTCCTTTTGGGACCCTGCCAGTGACCTCCAGGAGACCTAGCTACGAAAGCGCACGCCTCAGGCCTGGGCATGTTTTTAGAAATACTTGCCTCATTTTACACAGACTCCACTGGAGTGGGTGTGGTAGTTCCTCATTTTTTGTTTTTAAGATGGATCTCAAAGATATCTCGCTGTACTGTATGAAGTGATGTTATAACCAACCTAAAGGACATGGAAAAATTAAAACTGCAAGTACTACCAAAAGCAGCAGTACTCCTTTAAAAATAAAATATTGTAGCCAATCTAAAGGATTTAAAGCCCTTAAGTTTTTGGACAAAGAAGAAGCTAATTTATCTACATTCCATGAGTCTAAATATCTTAGACTCATATTTGTGATCTGTTCTTGTAAAAGTTTTATATCACAGGAAATATGAGAATCTTTCCACACATCTAGTAAATGAGCCTTTGTTCTTTCCCAATCTTTTGAAGCATTGTAAGGGTAAGGTATAACACAAATATAATGATAACCAGAATGACACCTAATAGCCATTCTAGTTTTAATGTTGGCCACATCCTGTCCCATAGCTAGAACCACTTCCTCTAAGGCATTTAATTTTGCTTCTAATTTTTTTCATCTATAATACACTGTTATGACAATACTACTGAAATATTTTTCTGCATCTCATTTACAAACTGAGCTGTTTGCATTTCCCTAACTAAGGCAGTGGTGGAAACCGCAAAGGAGGTCAAAATAGCTATCAAAGCTGATATTCCTAAAATAAGAGCTGCCACAAATCTTTTTGGCCTAATTAAAGAATTTAAGGATTCCAATGTTTATAACACTGAGCTGTCATACCAAGGGTCGTTCCTCAAATCAACTGGAACCATAACATAAGAAGGCCTTTTAACAACAATCATAATTGTAAATTTCTTATCTAGTGCAGAAGTAACACAATTTGTTAAAATACAAGATAACAGGAAATATGAAAAGATTCTCCTTCTTTTCTAATATTTATCATTTTTTGATGTCCAAACAATAATCCATAAGGATATGCAACACAGGCTGAAACGGCAATTGCTGAACTAATTTGCAGTTTTGGTTTCCGCAACAGTATCATATTGGCTGCAGCAGCCAGTCTAAAAAGATCAGGGTGTACAGCAACATAATCTTGGTCCTGATCCCTAATAGCCCATGCAGGTTCAACAAAACCAGCAGAAAACCAACGCTTTAATGGCTCATTAGGTTTGTATCCATTAAATTTATCAGAATTAAATAAGATTGATAATCATAATTTGGAGAAGCTATTGAAAAAATCCCAGATCTGTTCAGTAGATCCTAAGGATAAAACATTGTCCCTGCATGATGAAATCCACATCGAAGCCAGGTTGGGAACTTAACGGAGTCCCCATCTCAAAATTGATCCCTTTTAAATTCTTGAATGCAATTTGGAAGCCTTTGAGGCAATGGCTGATCTCTATGAAAAGATTCATCAAAAATTATATACCCTAAAGTTTGAAATTGCAGTTCCCACATAAGTCTCTTACCCTGTTTTGGGTCCCGAGTATCAGCCTTTAAAGTAACCTCCCTGTCAGGAGTGTCTGTTAAAAAAGTCCTGTAGTTAACAGGAAGACACCCAGGTGGTATATCTCCTCTTAAAGCTAAGCAGATTGGTGACAAATCTGCTCTCCCCTCATAATTTACATATGTAGAGCAGTTCTTTCTCAGATGGTAATCTGGAGTTCCTCCTAAAAGTTCTGAATGACTTGTCATGACCTTTATGTAACCTGGATCTCTCCACCCAACTGGATGAATCAGAGGGGTCTTTGGCACCTAAGCCCAAAAACTTTCCCCTACAACCTCAGCCAGCTTAACAGCCAATATAGCTAAATAAGCAAGAAACACATTAACAGGAATAAACTTTGCATGAGATTTTTTTTTTTTTTTAACAACATTCTTAGCTTCTTTGGTGAGAGTCTCTGGCTGTGTCTAAGTTGGCAATTTCACTTTCCCCTGCTCGGTGTCCCGCTGGAGGGAAAGTCCCTTCAATGTTGTTTGAGTCTTGTGTAGGTCCTACTTCCTCTGCCTCCTCTGCCGTCTTGACAGGAGGGGCAGGGGCTGGGCGGATGAAGTGATCGGGGATCCAGATCAGTGAGTCTGCATCCTGTGGGAAGACACAAGCATAGCCCCGTCCCGAGGTACCCAATAGTAGGTCCTTCCAGAGGACCTGTGGGTGAACTTTCTGTAATGTTTTCCCCCAATGTCTCAGCATTAGTTGTTCCTTCTGAGGAATTTAAATGATTAAGCACAAACAGGGCATGAGGAAGTACATGATGGGGAGACAGATAGGATAGGAACTGGCCTTCTTGAGGCATTCTATATGTCCTTTTAGAGTTTGAAGAGTTCTTTTAATCATCGCCTGGCCCTCTGGGTTGTAAGGAATACCTGTGATATATGTTCAATGCCCCAAGAAGTCAAGAACTTTTGTAAAACCTTAGCAACAAAGCAGGAGCATTATCAGTTTTTAGCTTTCTGGGAATTATCAAAGTGGCAAATGCAGCACAAAGATGCTGAATAACATCCCTGACTGCGTCTC